TCAAACCACGGCTTTATGTCAGTCTTCTAAAGCAGACTATGAATTCCTGGAGGGTAGGAACAATTCATATTTATTTTTTGATCACTTGCATATAATATGGTATCTGGTGCAAAAAAGAGCTACTGTAATTGTTAAAAATTTTCAGTACTTTTTATAAATAAGGGATAACTCATGAATAACTGAATGAACACTCTATTGTCTAAAATGACAAATACAGGAGGGAAAACAGACTGACTGTAGTGTTTCTTTCTTTTTTTTTGTTATAAGACTAATTGTGGTTTAAGAGCCATTCTGTTATTCATAGAAATAGTATGAAGAGTGTGCAGAAACTAACACCCATAAACTGGGGGAAATTAATTTCAGAGCATTCTGGTAGTCAAAGGCACAGACCTTTTGTCCTAGCACTGTCCATTCAGGCATTCATTCTAAAAAGAATCAGGTAGGCATAAAATTACATAAATAAGACTATTCAATGCAGTGCTATGTACACTAGTGAGGAATTGGGGGAGGGCTTAAATGTTAATGGGTAGAGGATTGATTAATGCATTTTCCTACATCTGCATATTATTTTATCGTCATTCAAACAGATAAAATAACCTTCAAATTACATGTGTCCAATACCCAAGTCCTGACATCATCCCTGCTCCCCGACTGCTCGTCTCAGTCATTAATGTCACCACCGTCTACCCAGGTGCCCAGGGCTCACACTAGGGGTCACCCTTGAATTCTTTCTCTCGCCACTGGCTGCCCCTTGCTCCCCACACCCGCACCCTACCTCTGAGCCGTGGGCCCGACCTGGCGGCTCTGCTGCGGAACGTCCCCCCTCATCTGTCCACCCTTCTCCTCTCTCCTGCGACAAGGAGCGTCCCCCACGAGCTGGTAGTTCTAATTCCAACGTGTGCCGTTGAGGACGAACGGGAGGGAATGAGGGAAGAGCAGCTGGACAGGAACACAACAGGGCCATCTTCCTTGTATTCCACCTTCGCTTTAAGACAGTTGTGGTTTTTCGGGTTTGCTCAGGTTAGTTTAGTTAGATGCTCGGCAGATGCCTGAATAGAACAATGTGATGGGACCAGTCAGAAAAATTTAGTTGGCAGAAAAACGAAGGTAAGCCAGGCTAGTCAGTGTTGGGATAAATCAAGGTTAAAAAGACAGGTGCAAATGGGTCTGGACAGAGTTCGGGGCTGCCTCTCCCTCAGTGGCTCTGGCAGCGGGACAGAGGGCATCAGGGACACGAGGGGCAGGAGGCGGCAAGGTGCCCAGTGGCCGTCTTCTTCCCTTGAGAAGGCGCTTCAGAAGCTCAGCGCGCCCGCCCCTCGGGGAGCAAGGAGGCCGCAGGGCCAGAGAAGCTGGACTTGGGGCCCGCTGCTTTTTCTCGCGCCGGGCTGTGGGATGGGGCACACTGCAGAATTTACCCCCCGCCCTTCAAGGGATCTCAGCTAGACCCTAGTGGCCACAGCTCCGTCTGTGCAGTCAAGCCTCGCTTCCGCTTCTGCCTTCATCGCCTGGCCGCGGGCAGGCCTGGCCCCGGGCTGCTACAGAGACACAGGTGCGCCTTCACGACGCCCAAGAAGGCGGCCCTCTGTGCTGTTTCTGAAAAGACAGCCCCTCTCCCCTTTATAGAGAAGCAGTCCTTTGATGAGGTGTTTCTGACATACCAAACATGACTACGCCCGATGACAAATGCATTTTTGATAGAATTAGGGCATACTTGGTGTTCTCATGTCTTACTGAGTTTCTAAAGACTCGGATGTTTTATTTGATCAACGTGTATTTTACTGTGCATTTACTATGCGCCAGGAACTGGAAAATGCGGGGCTTTAAAGAAGAGTTCTTTAGGGAACTTACTTAAATTCTCAATAATAAAGTTCTTCTAATAATTTAGCATTTAGGTAAGGCATCAGCCACACTTCCTTTCACTTGTACTTCGCTGCCTTTTTTGTAGCGTTACACCATGTCAAAGGCAAGAAAAGAAGTGCCCAGATTCACCCAAGTGCATCAGACGCCTCCCAGTGACAGAGGTCGTCGGGAAACCGAGCAGCAGGGGCCGAGAGAGCCCTCCCTGCCCGGGGCCAGCGGTCGTTTATCGCACAGAAGGCACGGAAGGTGGTCGGCCCGATCACGAGCGAGGTCGGGCATCGAGTCTGCCCAACCACAGGCGAGCGTTGCCGGAGGGAGGACTTCCACTGCTGATTTAACCAAACTCCTCTCTGTAGCTCTGCGGACTCCTGGAACTGCATTAGCTGCTTATTGAGAACACTGCCTGCCGACACAATTTAAGCACTTCATAGGGAGTTACTTTGTTGCTGTTGTTGTTTTTTTAATTAGGCAAAATTTGAGTCAGATATATTCTGAAATAGCTAGCAGTCGCCAAGTGAAAACACAGTCAGTGGCACAGCAGGATTTTAACTACTGAACTGCATCAAGGTTTCTCATTTCCATAATCAGTAGAGATTCAGCTTAACACCACAGGCCAGAGCTGTCTTCACAGAGGAATCTGCACATGGCCCGGGGCAGAGCTGCGTCCTGCCTGCACCTGACCGAGACTGTGAGTCTAAAACACCCTGAGGGCTCACGGCTTATCTGTGCAATTAATATAACGCAGTTGCAATGTAATGTACCTCCAAGATCATTTTGACATGACATCAACCAACATTTGCTGAATGTGAACTACCGGGCAGGCCCTGTACTGATTACATGGATCATCTTATTTCTCACAATAACAGGCACCTTTTCTATCCCATTTTACAGTGAGGAGACTTCAGCTCAGAAGTTAAGAAACTGCCCCAAGGTTATAAAATTAGGAAGTGGTGAAGATGGAATTCAGGCCGCATGAGTTTCTAATCATTCTTCTCCAATATATTACACTGTACTGTTGTAACGAATTTTTCATTTAAATTAGTTAACTCTACTTCCTCAATCATCTGTGCCAAGATCCACAAACTCTCTCTGTAAAGGGCTGCAAGGAAACATTTTAGGGTGTGGGGACCGCATACGGTCTCTGCTAGTCACAATCAGTGCCGCCACCGCCGCAGGGACGGCGTGGCCACAGACAGTCCCGAAGTGCATCAGCAGGGCTGCTTTCCAGGAAAACTTTCGCTACTACAACAGGAGGCAGGCAGACTCGGGCAACAGTTCGCGAACCCTTGATGTAAGTAAAATTCACGCTCCAGACAGGTATGCCCGTGTGTCCTGCGGCTTTGTGTGATCCCCTATGCTCGTTCAGGAAGAAGAGGTTAGGAGAAAATGATTTTTTAAAAAGGGAGAAGCCAGTGCAAAACGCAAGGGACAGGGGTTTGAGTTTCCCGTCCATCCTTCACCTATGACCCAAGAACAGCAGGGAGCCCACCTGACCGCCCTCCAGTGGCGCAGCCATGGCCTCCGCCCACACTGGGCCCACGGCTGCTCTCTCGGGCTGGCACCGGGGACCGGCCACAGCTGATGCTCCCGTCCGCTGTGACTCCCATGCAGGTGGTTATGCCTGGTCTTTCCACCTAACTGGAAACCCACCCCCAGAGCCCAGTGAATTTATCTTCTACATTTTCCACGGCATATCTCTGCGTGTTTGTTCGTGCTAGGAAAAATGCCCCCCTCTCTCTGTTACCTGAGTCCAAGAGCTAGTTCAAGAAATGCTTTCCTGAGGTCCTGTTCGAAATCCCTAGTCCCTTGACTGACCTCTAAAACATCATTTCTGAACATGCCACCTGCAGGTGTGCATTTTGATTCAACTGTTGTCTCACTTATTTCAAATACTACAATGCTGATACTGTAAAAGAATTGAGGATCGTTGTCACCTAAGAGCTTATTGTCACTGGATATCACTGGTAACTGGCCAGAGCAGTTAAGATTGATTTTACTGATTCGGCCTTGTTTCCAGGTTCTGAATAATGAGAGAAGAGGGTAAGCGTCCGTTTCAAACAGAACTGGGAGGCAAAGGTCACTCAGTCATGCAGCACTGATGATAACTTTGGGGATCAAAATCAAGAAGCTGGGGTAGAAAAAAAATCACGGGGACACGGAAATGTCCAAATGTCCTAAAACGATGCACAGAAAATAAAATGGAACATACACGACTTTACAAATCCCTGTTAAGAAAGAATGTCTGATTGGTGAGGGCATCTCAAGTAACTCCATTAAAAAGAATAAGGTATTCAAATTACTCGTGTTCTTTGCATTTTACTAAGATCTTTGCTGAGACCACTTAGGAGGAAGGAGACTGCAATGAAACACATGGGTTTGGAGGAGAGTTGGACTCAGGACTACTTATCAATGAACATCGTGAATTCACCAGGATCACAGCAGGGCCTAGCCCTGGTTTCGATCTTGATCACTTGATTCTCAGAACAGATTCTCATCACTCAGAGTGCGACTCTGGACTCAGAGACTCCAAGTCTCAAAGCTCGGATTCACTGACGTCTAAAGTGGGGCTGCACTTGCCCTGTCTACCCAACTGGTCTGTTCTGAGAATCAAGTGATCAAGATCAATACCAAGACTTTTTCGAAAAGTGTCATAAAAGCATTAAAAGAATTGAAAAAAAAAGGTATGTAAATATAGCAAAGGCTTCCTTTTTACAGAGTCACAGCAAATGCTACTGTGATGTCATTTGTCCAACTTCACTGTTTTACTTAGAAAAATTTTACTCAGCCATTAACTATCATAATGTACCATCAAACTTTTTTCCAGAAAACATATGTCAAAAACAAGCAATAAAACCAGAAACTTTTTTTTAAAGAAGAAAAGACTCACTGCACAGCCGTCTGTGAGCAGAGCCACCCCACTCTGGGCTCTGCCGTGAACTCGTCTGCGGCAGCCCCTCATTCCCGCTGAATAAAGGCGGGAGGGCTCTCTACTCTCTGAGTCCTTCATTAAACTACGGATCCCTTTAGCATTACCCATAAAGTCCCAGCAGCTCAGCACGTCCGCCGGCGGCGTGCTGGCCTCACGCTCCTTCCCACAGCTCCCACGCTCCATGGAGAGGAAGTCGCAATGGTTTGTGTACCTGGCACTTCCCCGTCCGGATGTCGTAAAGGGCCACCGAGCCACTGCGCGCCCCGACTGCGATCCTGTGGTTCCGCTCGTAATAGCTGACCATGTAGAACCTGGAATGGCATTTTAACAGAAACAAACAAAAATCAAAAAAAGAGAAAACAGACAAACAGGTGAGATGACCTGCCCACCTAAGTGGACAGCAACACCTTTCAAAGGTTGAAGCCAGCTCCGACATACATATTTTAAAATATGTCTATGTAGAGTTACTATAGCGAGATTGTTCAAAAATGTTTCATTTTAGTAATTCTTAAAATCAATGGAAAGAAAAATGATGCAGAACACCACTTAGGCCTCTTAATAATTGTCTTCAGTGGAAAACAACTTCATTATAGCAAACACTTTTGAATTTTGAAACAAGAGACAGAGGTCAAATACAAAAATAATATGTAAATAATATATAAACATATGTTCATATGTTAAATATGAACTCTGAGTTTTGCTACAGTGACTACTATGCAAATATTTCTATTCGAACAGAAATGGAAAAAATGAAAAGGCTTACATATTCAATCTAATTATGTTCTCGTGGTTTATATAGTATTAAGGAGTAAAATATACTTTTCAGCAGAACAATCATATAAAAGCTACATAAATGTTATGTTTAAGTTCACACCAATAATTTAGAATGAAATTAGAAGTTGCCCACCAGATGAAGCTTTCTGGAAAATTTCCTACATTTTCCACATTTATCAGTTTATCTAAACGACAGGTGTGACTACAGGTAGTACTTGGTGCTTATTTGGCATTGCATAAAAAAGGATTTAGGGAGGATGGTCGAAGGTTATAGGAGGCTATTTTTATTTATTTATCTTTTTTCTAGATTTATTTTCATGGAAGGATCAAGTATTTGAATTCCTGATCTATGCTTTGTCATAATGATTTCATGGCCATATGGCAAGTGCCTGGGAAGGTAAGAATAAAACTTAGTAGAAGCATAAATAAGGGATGATTATATATCCCCAAAGAGTTTTGAACATACCTTCCCCTCACTAGTCCTACTGTCTCGGTGTGAGCTGCCAGGATGAACGAGTGCTCCCCCAAATATTTATGAGAATACCGCATCAAGTCCATGCACTCCTGGCCTCTTTTTATCCTTGTTTCCTTACTACCAGAACACTTTGGTAACTTTCCTGTTACTGTCTTTTAAAGCATGGGATGGGGAGGTAAAACAGATGATGGAAAAGAAATACCATCCTCCAATGCTTTCTGGAGACTGATAAAAAGTTAAAAACCACTGGGGCGTGGATTAAGTTTCTGAAATTCTGGGAGGAGAGGCTGAGAGCGACAAAGGCCAGATGTTTGAATGTGAGCGTTTGAAACTGGGGGACATCCTGACAAAGCCATTGTGGTACTATTAGACATTATGACATTCATATATATTTCATACATCTGGAAAGCTATTACGTTTTTAAACTTTTTGTTTGCCACTTATTACTAAGTAATGGATTCAACAATACTTTGGTCCAGACGTGTCTCCTTCCTCTTTCATGGAAGATGAATGCTTCCTGAGTAGTCACGCGGAAGACACGACTTCAGGACGACACCCTGCTGGGATTTGCTGGGCACACCCAGGAGATGTCCTCTTGATATGGTTTGAGGGACGGAAGGGTACTAAAGTCTCCTGACGCATATAGCTTCCCCCATAAGTGGTTAGTAAAATGTTTCCCAAAGCTTTTCCTGTTGGAGCTTCCTATCTACCTCACTACAGAAGACAGGGATCAGCATTCAAAGCGCTGAAAAATGTTTGCTATTTTGCTTTTCAATAATTACGGTGGTCTCAGTATTGAGCATCCATCATTACACCCACATCTACAGTGGCATCTGTGCACACATAAGCACGCACAATTGTACCCTTACAGTAGCATGGAATAGAACATCTAGCAATTGTTCTAACAAATATTTATTCTGTGAATTTTAATAGCCACAGGAAAATAAAATTCCCAGGCCTATTAAAAAAATCTGATATTAAGATTTGTACAGATGTAACAGTTATACTGCTGAAATTCTTTTGCTATATGTGATTGTAATTATCACTCAAAATAATCCTCTTTCAAAACAACCACTGGTAAAATACATTTATATGGACAAAACTTTAGTTAAATTAGTGTCTAAAAAGTTTTGTTATGCTGACCGTTTCCTATGTTCTGGACATCAACCTCATCCTTCTAGATCACCTGTGAACACCATCATTAATGGGAGAAACAAGATCAAATCTTGGGTCTGTCTGGAGGGGACATATCGTACAGGTCAGTGTTTTTCATTCTTTGCAGTTTATCACTAGACTAATACTTCCAAATAGCACCTGAAAGCGGTTGGAACAAGGCAAGGTCTTAGGGCATGTTTTTAATGCTGGACTTCTTGTCAAATTGTTTATTTCATTAACAGTGTCTCTTTTAAAAAAACAGAATGAGTCCATTTTATATGTGGTTACTTCACACGTATCCACTCTCGGGATTGGCTACAGTGCACCCCTTTCTGCTGAGGGTCTCCGGAGCCCCCCACACCCTCGACTATGCTTCTCCATCGGGGGGCTGTCAAAACCAAGGATGGTGAGGTACGCATTACTTATTCTCACCCTCCAAGTTATCGATGGATGGAGAAGAGGAGGATCCATTTCGGTTTTTAAGACTATTCTAGTTTTGGCCTGACCCTACAGGAAAGTCTTGAATTCCTCCAAAATTGGGGAGGGGGTGTTCAGAGGAGGGGTTCATCATGTATGTGCTGAGCTCTCTGGACGTGGCATCTCAGTCTCCCATTTGCTGGATTGATAACATGTCACTCGGGCAGCATTTCCTGGGCAACAGCCTGGCAAGAATCCTTTTGTTACATTCCGGCCAGAACAACAGTTCTTCTCTCCTCAGCCCACCACAAGGAAGCTCCGTGAAGTCAGGCAGAACATTACCACTCAAGTCCGTGAAAGAAGAATAAAGTGGAATCGACTACTGTTCCAACATGGGGTTAGGGTGGTCTTCACCCAGAAATTTTATAGATTTTTAAAAAAAGATTTTATTTACTTATTTATTTTTAGAGAGGGGTGGGGGCATAGAGGGACAGAAACATCAATGTGTGGTCGCCTCCTGTGTGCCCCCTATTGGGGACCTGGCCTACAGCCCAGGCATGTGCCCTGACTGGGAATCAAACCGGTGACCCTTTGGTTCACAGGCCAGGACTCAACCACTGAGCTACACCAGCCAGGGCTACACCCAGAAATTTTAAAGTCTCTGGTCTGCACATTTTCACCATTGCCTACATGCATCCAGAGCAATCCTTCTAACCGTAAACCAAATCACCTCTCTCTTATGCTCACAGTCATCCGACAAAACCCTACCTGATACGCTCTAATGCTTCTCAGGCCACCTCTCTCCTTCGCGCGGTCTGCTCTAGTCATGCTGATCTCGCCTTGTCTTGACTGCGCCAAGAGCGTTCCTGGGGTGGAACCTGAACATTCTCGGATCCCTCTGCTTGAACATCTCCTTTTCCCAGACTCTCTTTGGCTCAGGCCCTCACTTCATTTAGGTCTTTGTTCCCAGGTTATCTTGATAAAGGGGACCCTGCGGGCCATCCTGCTTAATGCGGCTTCCCTGCCGCTATTACTCTAATCCAACATCCTGCTTTTCTTTATTAAAATTCCCATCATCACTGAGAGAGTAAACAATAACTTTTTTGTTTATCACTTGTGTCCCTCCATGGAGACTTTCTCTTTTGTTTCAATGTGTGAATATAAAGATACGGTCCAAGAAAGCAGAATACAGCACTGAAGCTGAATTCAGAATACTACACTTGTGTTTCAATGACTAGTGGCCAGGCATGTCACATTTTAAGGCCAGTGAATAATTGAGATGAACAACAAAGAAAACAAAACTGTGCAAAAAAGTGAGGCAGAAATCAGGAAACAGAACTTTCCCATGGCCCTTCTAAAAATGTATTTTCAATTGACACAGACCATTTCCGATTTACAAGAGCCGACCCGTAACGGCCCCTGCAGTCTGGGCACGCGGCACGAGATGGACAGGTGCATGAAGGGAAATTCAGTTTTAGGGAACTAGGGAACATCGTTTAGGCTGAAACTCAAATAGCTAAATGTAGTCAAAATAATGATCGATTCAATAAAGTATATACTTTTTCAGTGTAAATGTGGTCCTGGGGATAAAAGTTATTCTGAGAATTGAACAGATATTTATACCACTAGACACAAATTTCAATGTACATGATATTTTCGCATGAAATGTAATGAAAAGAAATAGCCACCTGTCAGTCATTATTAAAGACTAGCATCAGTTGTTTTGTTGCTCCAAAGCCAGGTTTGTGACTTCAGCTCTCCGGGAGGAACTCGCCACTTATGATGTGAAACACAACGTGTGGCCAGCCCATCTGGCGCAGGAGCCTGATGCAAATCACTTCGCCTGACAGTCTCCCAAGCACCCCTTTCTGAGTCTCTAAATAACTTGGGTGCTTTCTATCTATACTCTCCCTTGAACTGATGACCTGTTAAAACCTTTAGTAAAAACAGCCCTCAAATAAGAGAACATTTGTGCAAAATTTGAAAGTTGTTTTGGAAAAATACAGTTCAAGGAAACATGCAACTCTCAGCAGAAATGTGATTTGGGAGAAAGGAACCTGTAAAAGCACTTTCTTAACTGACTTTGGTAATCTGTGATGGTTTCGGGATGGGGAGTTCCTACTGTATTTCATACTGATGAGCATCAAAATGCAACACTTTTCAGCTAACCCAAAGTTAACCTCCAGGGTCACATGAAGCCATAAGATCTAAGGAGGTAGGGGATAGGATGGATGAATTTTAACTATTTATAATTTATAACTATTTCAACTCACTAACTGCAACTACTTGCAGCTGATATTTACTGAGTACTGACCCTGTATCAGGCACCGCCCCATGTACTTGTATATGCATTTTCATAAGCAATGAGTATTAGAAGCAGTTCTTGAGTTGCTTTCAGAATGTCTTGGTGTTGATTTAGAATGGTTCCCAAATTTTTGGTTCTTTTTGTTACAAAGGTATTAAGGCAGTATGTGCTTCTAAACAACTCAA